TACCTTGATGACATCTTGGTTTATAGTAGGACGTTGGACGAGCACATCGTACACCTTCGCGTTGTTCTGAATCGTCTGCGACTAGCCAAGTACAAAGCGAATCTCGACAAGTGCGAATTCGCCAAGCAAGAGCTTGAGTACTTGGGTCATTTTGTCACGCCGAAAGGCATTCGTCCCTTAGTGGACAAGATCCAAGCCATCGTGGATTGGCCGGAACCCCGTTGCACGACGGATGTACGCTCTTTCATGGGTTTGGCTGGATATTATCAGCGATTCGTCGAATCTTACTCGAAAGTGGCTACTCCTTTGTCGAGACTTCAGTCCCCGAAGGTGCCTTTTGAGTCCGACGACGCAGCCCGTGGCGCGTTCACTACGTTGAAGGCAGCAATGCAAGCCGCACCTGCCCTCCGTATATACGACCCCACCCTACCCACCCAAGTGGCTACGGACGCTTCGGGATACGGTATTGGTGCGGTGTTGGAACAGTGTCACGAGGACGGTTGGCATCCGGTTGAGTATTTCTCCCAAAAGGTGCCTCTCGTCAACACTCTCGACGACGCTAGGAAGAAAGAGCTACTCGCGTTCGTCACCGTTCTCAAACGGTGGCGCCACTTTCTTCTCGTCCGTCGGCGTTTTAAATGGAATACGGACAACAATCCGTTGACCTTTTATAAAACGCAAGACACGGTCACTAGCACGATCGGTCGATGGATGTATTACATCGACCAGTTTGATTTTGACCCGTGCCACATTCCCGGTCCCGCCAATCGAGCTGCGGACGCCCTCTCACGACGGCCCGACTTTTGCGCCATTGTGACCACGGCATTCAACCTCGACGACGATCTGCAGCCGCATTTCGTCAAAGGCTACAAGTCCGATCCGACTTACTCTAAGCTTTACGCGGAACTTTCATCGGATCACCCGCCGGCTAGCCACTATCGGATGTCCGACGGGTTCCTTCTCCTTCACACRAGAGGAAAGGACTTGTTAGTTGTGCCCCAGATCGCATCTTACGGACTCGTCTTCTCGGCGAATTCCACGACGCACGACTTTCGGCACACCTTGGCGTGAACCGCACACTAGCACGCCTCCGCCAACGTTTTCACTGGCCCGACGTCCTTCATGACGTCACGAGGTACATTGAGTCATGTGCAGTTTGCCACCGAAACAAGCGTCGATCTCGAGTCCCCTTCGGCGAACTGAAACCGTTGCCGATCCCTCGGGCACCACGCCTCTCCATTGCTATGGACGTGACAGGCCCGTTTCCCCGCGATCGCCACGGCCATGACGGTATTCTCACGGTCATTGACCGTTTGAGCAAGTATGCTTGCTTCCTTCCTTGCAAGTATCATGCTGCAGCGCTTGAGCTCGCACGACTCTTGCACACCGGTTGGATTACCAACCAAGGTGTTCCGGAAGACATAGTGAGCGACCGAGGTACTCGTTTCATGTCAGACTTTTGGACTTCCCTCATGGCTGAGTCCGGTACGACAATGAAACCGAGCTCGGCTCGGCACCCGCAGACGGATGGTCAGACGGAACGAGCACACCAAACCGCTCAGATGATGTCGCGTACGCTCATCCGTCCCGACCAGAAAGATTGGGTTGACCGGCTTCCCGACATCGAGTTCGCCTATAACACTTCGGTGCACCCGACGATCTGCGTCACACCATTCGAGTTACATCATGGTGGACAGAAAGCACGGATCTTCGCTGATCTCCTTTTGCCACAGGCTGCCGACATAGACGCCCCTTGCTCTCCCGCTTCCGTCCGGAAGTACCGGGACTTGCTGATCAAAGCCCGCACAAATATGCAAAAGGCTCAGATCCGCATGCAGCAGCAAGCTAACCGACGTCGACTTCCATGTCCTTTCCGYGAGGGAGACCTTGTTTGGGTCCTCTTCGAGGAATTTGCGCTCGAGCAGGACGTTTCGCGCAAACTCCTTCCGAAATGGTTCGGACCATGGGAAGTCACTTCTGCCGTT